AGCTTATTATTAAGAGGATGACCTCCACAGTGGGAGAAAGGCAATGAGGAACCCTTGGGGAGACCCCCAGCAGCTAACCATGCCAGGACGGACAGCAGCTGTTCTAGGAAGCAGAGCAGGGAGAGACTAGTCAGGGGAGAACTCTTGCCACCCTTCACATTTGTTCAAAAACTGACATAAATAACTTGTGGGTAAATATAACACTGTTTTTTAGAATTTAAATGATTCTGAAGCAGATGGAGTGAAAAGGAAGAGTCTCCTGCACACAGTGCCCCCCGCAGCCCCTACCTTTTCCAAAATGCCTACAAAGGAACCACCATGCCTATGTGGAGTCCCCTCCAGATTTTTCTATGCATAGATGTACAGAAATATACAGGGTTGGGTTTTTTGGGTACTTCTTCTTCTTAAAATAGATTCACACTATACTTATTAAGGAGCTTTGGTAACTTAGTGGTTACAAGTCAGGCTGCTAACCTCAAGGTCAGCAGTTCAAAACTACCAGCAGTTCCACTGGAGAAAGATGAGGCTTTCTGCTCCCATAAAGATTTATAGCCTCGGAAACCCTGTACAGGGTCACTATGAGTCAGAACCAACTTCACGGCCCATAACCACCACCACCACCACCACTATACTTATTATTCTGCAACTTGCTTTTTTTTTTGCTTAATATCTTCGTGAGGCCTTTCTAAGAGAGAACACGGAAGATAGAGCAACCTCAGGCCTTCTCACAGCTCCATGGCATGCCCTGTGTAAATGGCTATTTAGATTGCTTTCATTTTTTTCTATTACAGACAGTGCAGCTGTGGACTTCAGAGTGGGAGAGTCAGTTTCCCTTTGAATAATATGGTGAAGTGGAATTGCTGAGCTGAAAGAGGGAACATTAAAGAAAATTTTTAAAGTTTCCATTGAGTAAATGTCAACTCACGGTGACCCTTTCTGTGTCAGAATAGAGCTGTGCTCTGGGGGAGATTTCCATGCTGAATTTTTGGAAGTAGAGTGCCAAGCCTTTTTTTTAAGGCACATTGGATGGTGGTCTCAGACTTCCAATCTTTCAGCTGGTAGCTAAGCATTACTAACCACTTGTGCCACCCAGTGACTCGTAAATTAAAAATAAACCCAAAAGAACCAAACCCACTGCCACTGAGTCCATTCTGACTCACAGCCACACTATATGGGGTTGCCGAGAATGTAAATCTTTACAGGAGCACAAAGCCTCATTTTTCTCCTGCAGAGAGCCACTGGTGGGTTTGAACCACCAACCTGTGGCAAGCAATCCAGTACTTAACCTATAGCGCCACCAGGGCTCCTTTAAATTAAAAATTGTTGTTGTTGTTGTTGTTAAGTGCCGTGGAGTCAGTTCTGATGCATAGTGACCTTGTGTAGGGTTTCCGAGGAGCAGCTGGTGAGCTTGAACTACTGGCCTTGCAGTTCAAACCAAATTTGTGGTCCAGTGCATTAGCCCACGGCACCGCAATGGTGACGGTGTTGTGGTTGTGTGCTGTGGAGTCAGTTCCGACTCATAGCAACCCTGCATAGGGTTTCAGAGGCTGTAAATCTTTACGGAAGCAAAAGCTCATCTTTCTCTTGCAGAATGGCTGGTAATTATCAGTGCATCTTGATGGCATGCTTGGTCCATTTCAGAGTAAAGAAATTTGTAGAATTCTTCAATTTCATTAATCCATAATGAAGGGTCATGAAATCAATAGACATATTGCATTAGGAAAGTCTGCTGCAAAAGACCTTTTGAAAGTGTTTAAGAGCAAAGATGCCACCTTGAGGACTAAGGTGTGCCTGAAGCCATGCTGTTTTCAATCATCTCATATGCATGTGAAAGTTGGACAATGAATAAGGAAGACTGGAGAAGAATCCATGTATTTGAATTACAGTGTTGGGTCTGTAATTATTGAATTTTTGTAATTATTGAAATTACAGTTTCAATAATATTCAAAGTATCATGGACTGCCAGAAGAACTAATAAATCTGTCTTGAATGAATTATAACCAGAATGCTCCTTAGAAGTGTGGATGGCAAGACTTGGTCTCTTGTACTTTGGACATGTTGTCAGGAGGGACCAGTCCCTGAAGAAGGACATCATACTTGCAAAGGGGGAGGGTCAGCGAAAAAGAGGAAGTGCTCCAATGAGATGGATTGGCACAGTGGCAGCACCAATGGACTCAACCAGAACAATTGTGAGGATGGTGCAGGCCCAGTTGCTATGAGTTAGAAACAACTTGATAACACCTAACAACAACAACAACCTCACTTATTGTTATCCACAATTTTGTAAAAAAAATCTGCTATCTGAGTATTTTGCATGTTAAGGATGCACATCTGGCAGTAATGAACCCCAAGGTGTGAGGTGAGACTAACGCTGGCTGTGATGGTCAATGTTATGTTTCATTTTGGCTGGGCCGTGATGGTCAATGGTTTGGCAGTTGTATAGTGATGTGATTAGGCAGTGATGTAATGAGGTAGTCAGTTTCCATTTTGTGATTGGATATAGTCAGTCACCATTTTTGCATAATGCTGAATTTTGCACATGGTTCTGTCTTTGGAACTTAACCATGTTGATAAGTGAGGAGCAAGTTTATTTTGCAAAAGAAGAAGTCCTATCTAACCACATTTGAAATTAAGTGAGTCAGCTGCTATGAGAGTGTTATCTGAAATGTAAGGATGTCACCATGTGTAACAAGTCCTGCTGTGGTGCTGTGGGTTAATGCACTGGACTGCTAAGTCAGTTTGAACTGCCAGGCCAGCGGTTCAAGCTCACCAGCCATTCCTCAGAAATCCTATACAGGGTCTCTATGGGTTGGAGCTGACTCCACGGCACTGAACAACAACACCATGTGTGAAAACCTAAAGGGTCTTTTTACTTTCTTTCTAAATTGATTTCCACTTGGAAAATCATCTGACCTGAACAAGGAAATATAGTCCACTCCATTCACTTCTCCTGGTGCTTACTATTTTGAGGAGACGTGAATGAAGTACTAGAGACCCTGTTTGTCAAATTGGAATGAGAAGTGAGAAATCTGGTCCATGACCTCAGATACCACACATGCCATTGTGGAAGACCCTGTTTTCAGGCCCTGTCTGTTCTGAGGGCCAGGGTGGAGCTGTTGAGATGAAGAGGGTGAATCAAGAGGGGCAGAGAGTCACTATTTGGATTTGGCTTGGGATGGGACAGGGCACAGCCCTTCCCCTATCTGTAGCACCTGCTCCAGGGGGCAGCAAGGGTCTCTTCTCTCCATGGTCAATACAGCCTGTCTGGAAGCCAGGACACCTCAGTTCCAACTCAGCTCTGACACTCACTTGGTCTGCTAGTAATTGTGAGTGGCCCCTCCTGTCTCCAACCCTCAGTTTTCACCTACAAAGGAAGGGGCAGAGGGGCTAGATGATTTCCCAGAGCCCTTCCCGCCCCCATTGCTGTCTCAAGGCAACTCGAATAACTTCAGTCTGCAACAGAGATTTGCTTGGCGACAATGAGAGACTGGTTGAATAAACAAACAGCCTCACAGTCCTGACTCCTGAAGTTGGACTGCCCTACGCTGGACTGTGAGTCTCCGTGTCACCCTTTCCCTGGCCGTATAAGGAAGGAGGAGGACAGAGACCTTGGCACAGGTTACACGCACAGGGCTGAGGAGAAAGCTCCCGCCTCCAAAGACCTCGGTGACTAACCAAGAATGAGGAATAAATCAAATGCCACTCACCAGCTCCTTTTTGTCAGACACTCCAGAGCCCAGGGCTGGGGCACCCAAAGGGAGGCAGCTCGCCATCCCCAGGCCTTCTAGAATGTTCTATGAGGGGTACAACTTTCTCTGAACTTGGGCCAGCAGAGCTCTTTCCCTGAGACCTGCCTCCCACCCCTCCCTCACTTTGCTGTGCCAGGCCCAAAACCAGATTCCAGCCATGCAAAGGTCCACCTCTCCTCCTGGTCTCCCTGACTCTGAGACTGCCCTGCCCTCTCCCCTGGTTGTTTCCCATCCATCCGGGAACCATCTTCCCAAAGTGCAGCTGTAACTACTGCAGACATCAGCTTACAGCCCACATTCCCTAAGTCAGCCATTCAGAGCCCTTAAGACATCCACTCCCTTCCCGGGTGCCCAGGGCTGACAATTGTCTCTGGATGGGCTCCCTGGCTTTCCTTCTCTATCTCTTTGTTCCCGAGGCTCCCTCCACCCGTGATGTCACGGCTCCCATCCATCTCACCCAACTTGTCACCCACTACACTACCAGGTGAAGTCCTAGTGTGGCGCTGTGGGTTAATGCACCAGGCTGCAAAGCTGTTTGAACTGCAAGGTCGGCAGTTCAAGCTCACCAGCTGCTCCTCAGAAACCTTATACAGTTTCACTATGGGTCGGAATCGACTCAACGGCACTTAACAACAACAACACTACCAGGTAGCCTCAGTATATGTAATGATACGAGGCATGTGATTAGCATCATCATAGAAAGGCAGAACTGAAAAAGTTGCCCTGAAGATAAGTGACGGAACCACAAAAGCTACAGAGAAATACTAACTCCAGACAGGTAAACACAAACTAGAATATCCCTAGAAAGAGCAACCTGGCTAGAGGACACTCGGTGAATGGGGGTGGCTGATTAGCCTGGTAAAGAAGATGTCAGCAGTCTCTGAGATCTGCACCCAGGTGTGGGCAGCAGAAAGCAAAACTAAGCCCAACAAACAAGACTGAAGGGGAGCTGATTTCTACGTAATGTGTGGAAGGATATTCTCATAGTCAGCACTCTCCAGGAATGCAGGAGGGCATCGTGGTAAGGAGTGAGCCTCCCATCAGCGGGTGGGAACAAGCAGAGTTGGAAGAGCACTTGGTGGGAAGGATGAAGAAAGGAGGTGAACATGGTGGAGAGTGGGCCATCTTTGAGGTCCTTTAACGCTGGGCCCCCAGGCACCCATAATCAGCATCTTCTGCTCCTCCCAGAAGCATGCAGGAAAGCACAAGCTTCAGACATAAAAGACACAAGAAGGCTCTTCCCTGTCTTACCTGGTTATCAATTTTTAGTTCCACAAGAGAAGTGTTGTGTGGAAGGGCTTCTACTAGTCTCAGGATCCCCGTTCCAGAAATGAAGTTGGATTCCACATTCAGGGTCTTCAATGCTTTGTTCACCTTGAGCATCTCAGCGAGGGCCTGGGACCATGGGAGAGAAATGAGAGTGCTGGAGAGTCACACAGAGCAAGGCCGGAGCCCCTCCTGGGTCAGTCCTAAAATATCACGGGGCCTTCACACACTCATGCTGACAATCGCCCAAACATAACTCTGTGTCTCTCCTCCCCTCCAGCTTGCCATGGCTCCCCAGTTCCAACCAGAGAATGTGTGCTCCTGAGTCTGCTTTCAAAGCTTCTCTACCTGGGTCCGCTCCCTGCTCCCTGACAATGCCAGGGCTCTTCTACCACTCGGCCTTTGCTGACACCTGTATGCCCTGTACTTGCTGCTTCACTTGTTCAAACCCCACTCTGCCTTCAAGGTCATTCTCAAATGCCTCCTTCTCTAAGAGCCTTTGGTGACATCCCCAGCTAGCTGTGGCCTGCCCTCTTGAGCTCCTGGAATTTGCATTCCTCTGCATCAGTCACTGTTATACTGATTTTACACTCTGCCATAGACCACCACTACATCATGCTGCCCTCAAGGTCCACACAGTGTCATCACATAGGAGGTGTCCAACCAGTAGTCACTGAGTCAGTCACTCATGGAGTCCCAGTCTCCTCATATTTACGGTCTCCACTTCTATGTCCCTGTTGAAATTCTATGGAGCAACAGTTTTTTCATCTGAGCAGCAGAGAGCAGAAGAATTGGACCTGAGAAACAACCCCAAGATTTTATTTCATTTTGTCTAGTGGGCTAGTGACCAGGGCCAAGTGAAGGGGAAGGGCTCAGGTGCCCCCCACACATGTGAGTGGGGATGTCACTCAGAGAATCTGAAGGAAGTGAGGTAAGGAGCAGTTGGTGGGAGACTCACAGGAAAGACGACACCAGCAGTGATAGGCCCAGGGTACACACTTCAGTGGAGCCTGTTCCTCTGTAAAGACGCTTCGAGCCAGGAAGGCCCACACCACAGCAATTGTGGTGCTGACTGAGCTCAGTACTGCTACTGAGACCCCGCTACTCAAGGCTCAGATGGAAGCCTCCTCCCCAGGAGCCATCACTCCCTCTCCCTCCCCCTCCTCAGACCCCAAACAACCAACAACAAACCCATTACCATCAAGTTGACTCAGGCTCAGAAGCTTCGCTTTGGTAGCATAAGTCACCATTTGGTCTGGAAGCATTTCAGTATTTAATAAAGAGTATTTGAGTGTGGTGTCAGCTGTCATTTGGCACAGAGGTTGTGCCCAGTAATATTTGTGGTATTGAACTGGGCACCAGCAGGGATGTGCTTGGGTTCTAACCCGTAGCATAGCAGTGGGTAGGGCCTAGGGCTTTCCAAGAGTGTTTCCACGGGCAAATTCAGCATCCACTGGAGAGCTCCTGAGGTCAGAGGTCAACTGTCCAGTGCTTTCCCATTAGGGCCCCCCACAAGGCAGCACAGGGAGATTGTGATTTATATTAATTCTAAAATATTGAAGAAAAGCATCTTTCCTACTCATTTAAAAAATTTAAAAATTGATTGTTACTAGATACTTTATTACTCCTAATTATTATTTGTTGTTGTTGTTAAGTGCCGTCGAGTTGGTTCCGACCCACAGCAACCCTGTACAGGGTTTCAGAGGCTATAAATCTTTACTGGAGCAGAAAGCCTCATCTTTCTCCCACAGAGCAGCTGGTAGTTTTGAACTGCTGACCTTGTGGTTCGCAGTCCGATTCGTAACCACTACACTACCAGAGCTCAGTAATAAGAATGAACTCCTCCTCTTTGTGTTGTAGTAATCACAATACACAAATAGGCCATTAAGGCTCTGAGGACAGGAACTGAGGCTATCTTGGTCATAGTTGTATTCCCAGAGCCTAGTGGTTACGAATTGGGCTGCTAACCTCAAGGTCAGCAGTTCGAAACTACCAGCTATTTCGCAGGAGAAAGATAAGGCTTTCTGCTCCCGTAAAGATTTACAGTCTCAGAACCCCTATGCAGGGTTGCTATGAGTCGGAACCAACTCCACAGCACACCGCCGCCAATTCACTGATCACAGGACCAAATTATGACCTTGATCATATCTTACCTGAATCTAGAGAACATCTCAAGAACAGATGTGATGCGTTAGATATTAATGGACTACTGGTGTGGCGCTGTAGGATCAGCACTGGATTTTGAACCACAAAGTTGGCAGTTCAAACCTATCAGCTGCTCCTCAGAAATCCTATACAGGGTCGCTATGAGTCAGAACTGATTCAATAGCACTTAACAACAACTGAAGACTAGCGGAGTTATGGAATGACATTAAGAATATCATACACTAAAAAAACAAAGGTTTTAAAAAGAAAGGAAAGAAAAGACAATGGATGTCAGAAGAGACTATGAAACTTGCTCTTGAATGTAGAGAAACCAAAATGACTGAAAGAAAGAATGAAGTAAAAGAGCTAAACAGAAAATATCAACAAGTAGCTCAAGAAGATAAAGTCAAGTATTATGATGAAATGTGCAAAGATCTGGAGTTAGAAAACCAAAAGGGAAGAATATACTGAAAGAAATTAAGAAAAAACTTAAGTCTTGGGTTACAGTATTAAAGGATTCTATGGAGTCCTGGTGTGGTGCTGTGGGTTAATGTACCAGACTGAAAAGCCGTTTGAACTGCAAGGTTGGTCGTTCAAGCTCACCAGCCACGCCTCAGAAACCCTATACAGGGTCACTGTGGATCTGAACTAACTTGATGGCACTTTACAATAACAACAATGGGCAAAATATTGAATGATTGTTGTTGTTATGTGCCGTGGAGTTGGTTCAGACTCATAGTGACCCTGTACAGGGCTTCCAAGGCTATAAATCTTTACAGGAGCAGAAAACCTCATCTTTCTCCTGCGGAACAGCTGATAGTTTCGAACTGCTGACCTTAAGATTTGCAGCCCAATTCATAACCACTACACTACCAGAGCTCCTTATTGAATGATTAGGAAGCATCAAAAGAAGATGGAAGGAATACACAGAGTCACTATACTCAAAAGAATTGATGTTCAATCATGAGCCAATGATACTGAAAGCAGCAGCCAATAGTACTGAAAGAAGAAGACCAAGCTGCACTGAAGGCGTTGGTGAAAAACAAGGCTTCAGGAAATGACAGAATACAAATTGAAATGTTTCAACAAACTGATGCAGCACTGGAGGTGCTTATTCATCTATGCCAAGAAATTTGGAGGACAGCTAGCTATCTGGCCAACTAACTGGAAAAGATTCATATTGTACCCATTCCAAAGAAAGGTGACCCAACGGAATGTAGAAATCATCGAACAATATCATTAATATCACATGAAAGTAAAATTTTGCTGAAGATAATTCATAAACATTTGCAGCAGTATATTGACAAGGAGCTGCCAGAAATTCAAGCCAGATTCAGAAAGGAATGTGGCTATCATTGCTGACATCAGTGGATCATAGCTGAAAGCAGAGAATACCAGAAAGATGTTTATGCGTGTTCTATTGACTATGCAAAGGCATTCAACTGTGTGGGTCATAACAAACTATGGATTATGAAGACTGGGTATTCCAGAACACTTAACTGTGCTCCTAAGGAACCTGTAACAGAGACTAAGAGACAGTTGTTAGACCAGAATAGGGGATATTGAATGGTTTAAAATCAGAAAAAATATGTGCCAGGATTGTATCCTTTCACCCTACTTAATCAATCTATATGCTGAACAAATAATCCAAGAAAATGGATTATATGAAGAAGAATGTGGTATTGGGATTGAAGGAAGACTCATTAACAGTCTACAATATGAAGATGACACAACCTTGCTTGCTGGAAGCAAAAAGGACTTGAAATACTGATGAAGATCAAAGACTAAAGCCTTCAGTACTGAGTGCACCTCAACAGTAATAAAATGAAAATCCTCAAAACTGGATCGATAAATAATATGATGAGTGGAATTAAAGTTGTCAACGACTTTATTTTCCTTGGATCCACAAGCAAAGCTCATAGAACCAAGAAAGCAGTCAAGAAGTAAAATGATGCATTGCATTGAATAAATCTGCTGTAAAAGATTTCTTTAAAGTGCTAAAGAACAAAGTTGGAGAGGAATACTGAAATGACAATGGACTGCCAGAAGAACAAACAAATCTGTCTTGGAAGAAGTATGACCAGAATGTTCTTTATAAGTAAGGATGGCAAGACTTCGTCTCTACTTTTTATCAAAAGAGACCAGTCCCTGGAGAATGACATCATTCTTGGTAAAGTATATTGCTGTTGTTGTTAAGTGCCGCTGAACCAGTTCCAACTCATAGTGACCCTGTATAGGGTTTCCAAGGAGCAGCTGGTAAGTTTGAACCACTGACCTTATGTTCAAACTAATGATTATCCTACAGTAGCACACCAGGAAAGTAGAATGTCAATGAAAAAGAGGAAGACCCTAACAAGACGGATTGACACAGTGGCAGCTATGATGCGCTTAAACATCACAACAGATGTGGGGAAGGTACAGGATCAGGCAGTGTTTCGTTCTGTTGTGCAGAGGGGTCGCTATGAGTTGGAATTGACTCAGCAACAGCTAACAGCAACACTTCAGTTCAGGGTACAGAAAGATCCTTAAACATGTATTGAATACTCTTTTATATAAAGAATTCATTTTATAATAAGTATAATTTTATTTGAATAACAACATCTTTTCAGACATGGGTAAAATATAAAATAGCATTGGTCACTGGGACTCACTGATGAAGACATTGGTTTAGAGATGGAGAAACTGAGGCCTAGGAAGGAGCTGACCTGATCCGCATGGGATGTACTAAGTGGAGAGCAATGTGGCTTTAGGGTCCATACAACTTGTGTCTGACTCCCAGTTTAACTGCTTGTTTACTGTGCGATTTGGGACCTCTCAAGTTGCCTTACCTCTCTGAACCTCAGGATCTTCATGTGCAAAACGAGAAACCTGCACCTCTGTGATCAGGCAACTGCTGTGAGCAATGTACTGAGGGTGCCTTCCCATCTGTAGCCCCAATCCTGGCTCCTAGCCCAGTGCCTTCTCAGCACACCACCCAGGGGTTCTACACCCAGGCATAAAATCAATCATGAGGCCATATGTGTTGGTCTTTAAGTTTCTATGCCTCCCGCCCTCAATGCAGCCAGAACAGACAGGTACATACATACGCCACTGGGTCATTGCTCCGTGTCCCAACAATGCTGAACTTCTTCACATATGAGTTGTCTTTCAGGGCCTCTGCATATGCCTTGAGGGTGGGTATGGGGATATTCTGCAGAGAAAAGGCAGGCAGTAACCAGTAGCCTCCCACCTGGGGCAAGCAGGGCAATATAGACAGATGGGGCAGCCACTCTGCTCACTGATTCCTAGTAAGTCTCTGACAAAAAAGGTGAGCAGCCTAAGAGTTTCCAGCTTTGCTTGCTCCCTGGGTTTGCCCCAAATGGATGAGATTTAAGGCTAACTTTCTGATAAACAGAAACTCTTGGGTGCAGTCTGGACATTCATATTTTTGAAAAAATGTCCTCAGGTGAAAAACCACCAACCTAGTCCAAATTCCTCATCATGCAGAAGAGGAATCCTAGGCCTGGAGAGAGCAGGTTTCAGGCCCTGCATGACTCTGAGTGGGCATTCACCACCAGAGTACACAATTCTGAATTGTGCCAGCCTCCCATTGGGCACACAGCAGAGAACTGAGGCACCCAAGAGAGTTGCTGACTGTGTTTTCACAGGTCTCTCATTTCAGGGTGTCATTTTAGCTCCCCATGGGAGCAGAGTCTGGGGGTGGGGGGGCAGGTGGAGGAGAACACTGAACATACAGGTTTCCAATCTGATTGTCGTGGGGCCTGCAGCCTCTTTAAAGAAAGTGGAGAAGACAGGGAAGAGGAGCGGGGGCCAGGGACCAGCTTCTTGTCTTACCCTGCCCCCTCCCAGAACTAATCTTGCAGGCTTCAGAGGGGAGCAGGTGGGTGGGCAGCTGCTCCTGCTTCTGAATTCTTCCTGCAGCCTGTCCAGGGGAGGACTGCCTGTCTATCTGTCCCTCCTCTGCCACCAGCGGCCACATGAAATGTAGGCAGAGAGCTCAGAACATGACTTGGGACATTTGAACAAACAGCTCCCTGTTAGGGCTGTAAAATGAGGTTGAATATGAATATGTCAGAGCAGCAGTGAGAGTTCGGGGGAGGCCCTGAGTCTGGTGGGCACTGGAGTGTTGGCGCCTGCAGATCCTGGGTGTTGCAGCGTGTCTGACTCACGGGTTTATCTCGGAGAACCTCTCAGTGTTTTGAACAACATGGAGGGTTTCCAGTGACAGAGTTGGCTTGGCCCATGGTGAACATCTGCGCTTGATGTTTGCTTACACTCTCCACCCCATTCAAACACTCCTATTGGCAAGGTTTTGCCAGATTCCTGATCCAGAAACACCAGGGACCACACAGGACCTTGTTTACTCTGCCAGGCTAAACCTGAGCTGCTTGCGTCTGACTGGTAAGAAACATGGCTTTCCCATGAAGAGAAATTTAAGGACTTTACCCGGATGTTATTGAGGTTAACCTCTTCAAGTTCCGGGTCGTTGTTCTTTATCCGCTCCAACGTTTCTTCTACGTCTGTTGAATTTGGTTCTTCATCAGGCACAGGCTTGTACTGTGTAGGTTTGATCACACCTGATAGAATGATGGATAAGTGGCAGGGGGCTCAAATAAGCACAAGGACTCTGAAAGGGGGCATCAACAGGGTCCAGGGAGTTGTGAAGATGCCACATCACAAGGGCTTCCTACGAGGGAAAACACCGCAGGAGAAGCACTGCTCAGGGAGGCAAGAGGTGTGAACTCTGCTTGGGCTCTGCCTTTGATGTCCAGCAATTACCTAAATTCTCTAAGCCTCAGCGTTCTCATCTGTAAAATGGGAACACTTACTATACAGGTATTCGTTAGCTCGGTGGGCACTTGTAAGGATACAATGAAGCCTGGGTAAGAAGGAAAATGTGTAACTGTTCCAGAGGGAGGGATAATTATTATTTTGGCAACCTTATTTCTCTTTGGGGCCCAGATGCCAGCTTGAAAGCTGATAATAAAAAACAATGCAATATTGGCACAGGAGAGGACAGATGGACTCATAGAGCAGAAGAGATGACCATAAACAGTGGATATGTGGAAGGGATGATAACGGTAGATCCTCAACTTTTTTTTCAAACACTGATGTTAGGATGGTTGGATAGGCATTAAAAAATGAAAAGAAATTCAATCTCACCCCACACCATGCACAAACATGAACTCCAGGTGGGACAAGAAGTTGAATATAAAAAGTAAGCTTCTAAAACGTTTAGGAGAAACTGTTGGAAAATCTTTTTTTATATAATATCGAGATGGAGAAGGTCTTCGTAGACAGAACACAGATCCCAGGAGACGGTGAAGGAAAAGACTGGCAGCTCTAGCTACAGAAAAATCCAAAACGTCTGCAAAGAGCCAGAGCATCCGTGAGCAGAGGAAAGCAAGGAGCATGAGGCGCTCTCCCTTCCCAGAATCCTCCTTCCTTGAGTGACACTGGGGGTGGCGGGAAAGGGAAGCCTGGCCGACTGGCAGGGCCGAGTACTCACTGTTGAGTCCCTCCTTGTTCACGATGGAGCTGCTGCCCAGTGCTTGGTAGTACTGCTGGTTGCTCATGAGGGTGTGCATGCCCAGGATAGCTGCGGGGACAGGAAGGGGGCTGTGACTCCCTTCTCTCTGGCAGAGAGGCCTCTTGGGGGGACACGCTCCACACCCCAGTACTTCTTGTCATAGAAACAAGAAACACTTGCATGACAACATTAATTAATAGTGTATGTGGTTTGTACTGGCCCCTCTTGTCACATGGCTCTCAAGTCCCCATCCCAGTGTCCCAATGACACTTCCAACCTAATTCGGCCGACACAGTCATAGCTTTCCCAGCAACAGCCTCTTCCCTTGGATCACCTTCCATCTTGTCATCCTGCCTGTGTCATGGCAGCTCCTCCCCCCCGAACAAGCCCTCACCTTCCTAAACAGTGTGTTGGACCTCCCCAGTGACGTTCCTCTGTCCTGGTGGAGGCGCTATCGTGTCTTGGCTGCAGAGTCACTGGTGTCCTGGCCTCCATCGCTTCTCCCCACCCTGGCCCCCAGCATTTGTCAAACAGCAGTCAGAGAGATCTCTCTGGAAATGCAAATGTGACCATATCTCTCCCAGACTCGGTCATTCTTTCATTCATCATTTGTTCTACAATTAGTGGGTGCCTACAACGTGTGTTCATCTCTAGAGAGACAGCAGAGAACAAGCTTCAAGTCTGCTCAGCAACCACACAATTACAAATACAAGCACAGAGTGTGAGAAGTATTACAGTGTTAAAAGTTCCACATGTTCAGGGTGAATTAACAGAGGAACTTGGGATGGATGGGAAGGATGAGTAAGCCAAGTTAAGAGAAAACCAGTTACCATGGATGTCATTCCAACTCAAGGAACCCTGTATGTTTCAGACTTCAGCTGCTCCATAGGGTTTCGTTTTTAACTTTTTACACTTACTTCTGTTGTTGTTGAGAATATACACAGCGGACCATACAGCAATTCAACAACTGCTACATGTACAATTCGGGCTGTAAACCGCAAGGTCAGCAGTTCGAAACTACCAGCTGCTCCGCGGGAGAAAGATGAGACGATCTGCTCCCGTAAAGATTTACAGCCTTGGAAACCCTGTTCAGGATCGCTATGGGTCGAAACCGACTCGACGGCACTTAACAACAAACATGTACAATTCAGTGACACTGATGACATTCTTCCATTGTATAACCATTCTCACCCTCCTTTTCCAAATTGTTCCTCTCATTAACAGAAACTCACTGATCCCTACGTTTCCTATCAGCTCTTTTGAGTTGAGGTTGTCAATTTGATCCCTTATAGATAGTTCTTAAAGAACCCTGGAGGTGCTGTGTTATAAGCACTGGACTGCTTACCAGAAAGTCGGCGGTTCAAATTCATCAGCGGCTCCACGGGACAAAGATGAGGTTGTCTGCTCCCATAAATATTGACAGCCTTGAAAACCCTATATAGGCTTGAATGAGAATTGACTCTGGCGATGGGTTTGATTTTGGGTTTAGATGTTGAGTGCCATCGAGTCGTTTCTGACTCACAGTGACCCTGCATAGGGGTTTCCAGGCTGTAAATCTTTATGTGAGGAGAAAGCCCCATCTCTCTTCCACAGAATGACTGGTAGATTTGAACTACTGACCTTGTGGTTAGCACCCCAGCTCATAATCCACTATACTGCTGAAACTCCATCCAGAATGATGGAGTCTGATCAGAATCGCCGGAGACCTTATTTTCCGTCTCCTTGGATGATTATGCTGCTCAGGGGGAGGTGTTGTGGTGTTGTTAAGTGCCATCATGTCAATTCTGAACCCTAGCATCCCTGTACAGGGTTTCCAAGTAGCAGTTGGTGGGTTTGAACTGCTGACCCTGTGGTTCTCAATCCAGTGTTTATCCTACAGCACCATACCAGGAGTACCAGGGGGAGCTAAATCTTCCTGAAAAAACCACAAGACAAGACAATCTCAAGTGCCTTCTATTTCTTAAAGTCTAAAAGTCATCTCTACTAAAATTAGACTTGCCTGTTCATCACTAAGTAGCAGGGGTTGGGAGAGAGCGATCTGAATTATTTCAAGCTCACTGGGGTTTAATTTTGGCTGTGACTACGTGGGCAATAGGAGCTGAGGCCTGAGTCAGCAGCAGGTGAGTCAGATCACTGTGAGTCACCCCCATAAAAGGGATGGTTCCTGGTGATTCTGTACTGGGGCTTGGTTTTCAGAGGGAAGAAAGTTTGCAAAGTTTTCTGGGAACCATGTGAAGATCAATGCCATATGGCTTACTGGTCTTGCCATCTGTATAGAGATGAAAGATGGATGATGCACTTGGTGTTCCGATGCCAGCTTCCTGAAACGCTCCAGAAAGGAGGCCAGAGGCAAGGAGGCCACAAGGAGCTCCCACGGGATCAAGAGGAAGGAGATGTAGGCTTCCACCAGAGCCTTATTATCAATTTTCTGGGTAACCTCGTACAAGTCACTTCCCCTTTCCATACCTCTGCTTTCTCACCTGGAAAGTGGGGTGTGTTCAAATGCAGACATCTCCCATTTTCCTAGAACTTAACAATGATTTCTCATACTTTCATCCCCTTTGATTTTTACAATAAGGATCTAGGCCAGGTGTTGGTGACCAACATTCTCAAGAGGAAAATGGTTCACACCCACTCATTGACACAATAGGCCACTAGTAGTCCTAAAATTCTGAAACGTCCCCTTGACTTTGGAGTTCTAAGGACAGGTAACATGTTCTAGGAGGAAATAAGAGTCTATGTGGCTAGCAGGCTTAAGAAGAAAGTAAACCCAGTTTACCTCAGAGGTTACTGTTCTTGCTTTTACGTGCTAACAAGTCCGTTCCGACTCATAGCAACCCCGTACAGGGTTTCTGAGGAGCGGCTGGTGAGTTTGAACTTTGCAGTTCAAACCAACCTTGAGGGCAAGTGTATATATAATAGGGTGCCACACCAGGGGAAAGAAAGGACAAAAGGACGAGGACAGGCCAACTTTCCTTCCGTGAACAAATGGCTGGCAGCCTGAAGATAGTGCGCTTTGCCTTTGACCAAGGCAGGACTCCCCCTCACCCAGTTTTGCATGAGTGAGTGCTGGGAGAAAGCACATCAACATAGCTGCTGCTTCATTCCTAATAGATACTAGCAAGGCTGAATTTAGCACCAGCAAACTTGATTTTTTTTTTTTTTTGGTTATTTTTTTAAGTTTAGATCTTCCTAAAAACTCAAAAAGGGCTATTTTTGAGCCCTGAAAAAGAACATCGTGTTCTGTTTCCTGTCTCTGCCTTGGCAGGGTTCTCAGAGTTGGCAATTCCCATTAGGAGGCAGAGATAACAGCACTCATCCCCGGTGACTCCAGCTGCCAATGGCCTGGGCTGGCTTGGGGCTGCTGGCTGACAGGAAGGTGGTATTCCTGCATCCTAGGAAAAATAGGAGAAGCTCCTGGATGGCCACACTCCGACCCTCACAGAACCCCAGGACTGGTGCCTAAGAGCACAGAGGAGACCAGAAGCCAGAGGGAGGCCTGGCTAAGACTGCCAGAGGTACCCCTCAGGTGGCTGCAAAGACAAGTCCTCCTCCCCTGCTCCCTTTCTGCCTCTGCCTCTCAGGAAGGGTCTGGGTGAGAAGGGAGGGTGGGGCAAGGATAGCTCTGAGTGCTTACAGCTGATGCCCAGGGGCCTCCCAAAACAAAAACTTAGTGCTGTCAGGGCCCTAGTATCCTGCCACCCACTTGAAGATACTCCTTATGTTGGGATTTGCATGTTTCTTGACTGTCCCCCAGGACAGGTCTGCACCCAATTCATCTCAGTGTGTAGCAGGAGTCCCAGGAGGTATGCTGAGTGAATTCATGCAACTTTGATACACAAATAAGAAAGTCATGAACAAATGAGAGCTCACAGGCCTTGCCTAACCTGTGTCCACACCTGCCCTGGATATCCACTTGCATGTTCCTACCATGGCTTCATACAACCTTAAAGAACAAGCCACTGAAAGGGGCCAGCTTCCTCCCCAGCTCAGAACCCGGGCACTTGTGGTTTTCTTGCCTGTGACCAGGGTCAGCTTACCCAATAAGCAAGATAAACACTGGCTTTCTTGTGCCTACTTAGTAATCTATAGCGAACAACTTCACATTTTTTCATGTCAAGGATTCTGCCTCTAGGTCTGGCTAGCACCTTCCTAGAGAATCAGAGCCTCTTTTCTAATTTACAATTCCTGAGAGGGGCGGAGGACCCAGTTGGCAAGGTAAGCATGGGTGTTGTTGTTGTTGTGAAGTGCTGTTGAGTCGGTTCTGACCCATAGCGACCCTGTATAGGGTTTCTGAGGAGCAGCTGGTGAGCTTGAACTGCCAACCTTGCAGTTCAAATGGGTTTGCAGTCTGATGCATTAACCCACAGCACCACACCAGGACTCTGCCATTATGTTGTTGTTGTTAAGTGCCGTTGAGTTGGTTCCGACCCATAGCGACCCTGTATAGGGTTTCCGAGGAGTAGCTGGTGAGCTTGAACTGCCGACCTTGCAGTTCAAATGGCTTTGCAGTCTGGTGCATTAATCCACAGCATCACACCAGGACTCCAAGCCTGGGCATTACTTGTCCTTAATAATCAGCAGTGAACAGCCTCACTTTGATGTGAAGTTGGTCACTACTGATTGGTAAGTAAGCACAAGTACACCTGTGCTTACCTTGCTCAGTGGGACATTTCTCCCCCTACCTCCTCTTGCTTGTCTCCACTCTTCCTCCTGGAGCTTCATCTTCTGTTATCACTTTCCTCATGGGAACCCCACTTAGCCTGGTTCTCTGTTCTGTATGACTCTCAGTCCCATGAGTCCTGTAATAGTTGCCTGTTCATTGGTTAACATTTGGTTCTACGAGGGCATGAAGCTGGGCCTGACTCCTACCTCCTGCATCCTGACGAGGACCATGCCTTTCTTTCCAAACTCCGCTTCCAACAGATTCCTGCCGATTCTCAAGATTCAACTCCTTTGTCTGCTGTTAATTGGTTCTCCTAATGTGATCTCTCCTCCCTCCCTCCCTCCAGCCAGTTTTCTCCCACTAGGCTAAGCACCCTCTTTGTCCACCTGCTATGCCCACTGCACCCTTCTCCATCTGAAGGGCTTTGTTCCACGGGGAGGTGATGCTGGGAATCTGCCCTGGAACCATGCTACCTGAGTTCACACCCCTCGAGTAAGTTGCTTAACCTCACAAAACCAAAACCAGCTGCCCTGAATCAATTCCAACTCATAAAGACCCCATATGTTTCAGAGTAGAACTGAGTTCCACGGAATTTTCAATGGCTGTGACCTTTCAAAAGTCGATCACCAGACCTTTCTTCCAATATGCCTCTAGATGGAAAAAACCACCAACCTTTCAGTTAGTAGCCAAGTGCATGAACTGTTTGCAGCATCCAGGGACTCCTATTCAATCTCCATCCAGAAAGTGGAGACAATAATAAAACATACTTCATAGGATTATTGTGGGCAATAAATGCAGACAGTTCCTCCCACAGCACCTGGGCCATCACTGGTGGTGAGCCAATGTTCAGTCCCTCCTTCCCCAGAGACACTGCTGCCTTTGAAATGGCTGATAGGAAAGAGCCGACAGACAAGTCTAGCCAGTTAACCTTGTGTGGCCTTACAACCGCTGTGCTCCCCTGGACATTGGAACATGAACAGATAAAAAGAATTAATCAAGTCAACAAAAATAAAGAAAAATAGCTTCAAGAAAGCAAGACAGAAACTGAGCACAATATTGTAGTTCCATATTGTCACCAGAGCTGGTGGTTCTGCTTCTGACAGCGAGGTCATTTGATAATCCCTCTGAGTCGCATCATGAGGGGAGTGACATCATGCAGGGTCATGGGAGGAGAAGGTGCAGGATGAAATAGCTCCAGGGTGAGACACCGGGGCGATGCAGGACACAGGCATTACCCACCTGTCACTGCACAGAGTAACCTGGAGCCCACGGGCCCCCCCACCTTGAAATATATTAACATAGGGTCCAGTACAAAGTAGGGGAGACCTCGTGGCACTGTAGGATAAGCACTGGACTGCTAGCTACAAGGTCAGCAATTCAAACCCATCAACTATTCCACAGAAGAAAGATTCAGCTTTCTGCTCCTTAAATATTTATCGCCTCAGAAACTCATACAGGGTCAAAATGAGTCAGACGGGATTCTATGACTGGGTTTTAATATGACCAAGAGTGTGTGGCTTCTGAAAAAAAAAACAAATCCCTAACTGCAAAGGGATCACAGTGGCTCTATAGAATAAGCACTGAACCACGAACCACAAGGTCAGCGGTTCAAACCCTGAAGAAAGATGAGATTTCCTGTTCCCACAAAGATTTACAGCCTTGGAAACTCTATGCAGGTTCCCTGTGAGCCAGAAATGACTCCACGGCACTTAACAACAGCAACGATTATAAAACAAACCAGGTTCCTTAAGTGTTCTGTTTCCATTTGGGGGAAATATTCACTGTTTCCGTACTTCCAAGTGGAAATGAAAACCATTCTCTCTCAGTCCCGTCACCCTTTGAGCCAGTGCCATTTGTCCTCCCTGCATTTTCTATCCAGAAGAAAGTGTTGCCTAAACACAGGGTCTGCACACCTGCACGCCCCCATTTATTGCTGAGTTCCTGGAGCTTGGCTTTGGTAGCCACCGTCCTGAGTCACCCCTCGCACATAGCTGATTGTTGGATTACAGCTTACACCTGCTCACAGCACCCACGAGAAGCAGGAGGATGTGATGAGCAGAAGACAGCTGGAGTCAAGTCCTCTGGCACTACTGGAAGTCTGTCCTGGCCTCTGGCCTTGCATCCATACCTGGGAGTTTCCTCCGCCGTCCTGAGCCCCATTCTGTCTCCTTGGCTTTTGCCCTGGATTCTGCCCACCTGGATTTGACCTTGGGCTCCCAGCCCATTGTGGCTAACTGGCCTTCATGCTGGCTCTGCTCCATTTCCATGACTCTCCTCTGGAAGGCTTCTACCTGGCCCAAACACTTGTGCCTCAGAGCCCCAGGCTCCTGCCCCTGCCGTGCCCTCTGCACAGAGCTTTAAAATGCTATGGTGCTCACCCCTCTCCACCTAGCGTGTGCGTTTTACAGAACTTCAGACCTTCAGGTGTAACTATCTCCACCTGGGTGGTCTACCCACTGCCATCAACTTTCAGTTGATTTGGATTTACATTGGCAGAGATTCCTCTGTCTCCCATGGAGAAGTTGGTGGGTTTGAACCACTGACCTTATGATTAGCAGCCCAATACCTAACCTACAGGGCCACCAGGTGAACTATAGGCCCTAAACTGATCTGAGCATTTCCCCTAATCTTGCTCCTTGCATCCTCACCTTAATGACTGCCATCATCCCCCTCCCCGCCCCTCTCCCACCTCTCTGTCTCTGTCTCACCTCTCTGTCTCTGTCTCTGTCTCTGTCTCTCTCTCTCTCTCTCTCTCTCACACACACACACACACACACACACACAGAGTGTCTGCAGTCAGAAGCATCAACACCTGCCTGGACTCCTTCTCACCACCTGTCAGTCACAACAGCCCTTTGTTCCTCTCCCTGCCCCACAAGCCTTGAGTCTCTCCCCTGACCACCCTTCTGCCCTCATGCCAACACCTAGGGGGCAGTGAGTAGCTCCTTCAGGGTAAAAAGACCACCCACCCTCAAAGACAGGGGGCCATAGCACAAAGGGGAGCATCTGTGGTATGTGATGCGGTCAGAGTTTGGTCCTCAGCAGACCTGGAACACAGTGTGCGTGGGGTAGGAAGAAACAGTTGAAAGGAGGGAAAGGTGGCAGGAAGAGTTCTGAATACCAGGCCCCAGCCACTGTCTGGTCTTTGGAGGGTTGTCTGTGAAGGTCATATGGGCACACACAAGGAAACAGAAGGAGTTGCAGTCATGTGTGATATTTACTGGGAGAGCCCCTCAAAGTCTGGTTCCTAAGCTGACCACAGACAAAAGGCAAGGTTGTAAAAACCAGACTGGAAATTCCAGGAGTCCTTTGACTGTTCGGCTCTATTCTCTCTTCCCATGGACTTGGCAGGATTAGAGAGAGGCACATGGTGAAGGCCTCCCATGCTGGAACACTTCCTCTCGGGGACATGTCCACATCCCTCTGGGATGGCTGCACCCACATCAGATGGCTCCTCCGTGTGGTGGGAATAGAAGGTTTGGGTGCTTTTCTCTCTACCCACCTCATTTTGGTTAAAATGGATTTCTATTTGGACACTTTTGATCTCTTCTAGTCCTTGTTAGGAAATACAGAGGGTGTTCATGTTGGACTAAATCCTCAAGAGTTCCCCGAATTATGCAGGCAAACCCCTCCTGGGGTGTGTGTGGAAGCTTCTGGAATGCCTCTTACCTGCAATGTCACAGAGCTCTGCGTCAGAGGCGTTTGCTAAGGCTTCCTCCAGTTCTGGCTCCAGCGTCACACTTTCTAGCACGGGATCCATCGGCTTCTGCTTGGGGACCCAGACCTTTCCTGCAAACACACGGGGGGAGGGGGGTGCCCATGAGCATGCAGCTGTGATGGGCATCATTTGGATGTCCTGGCAGGGCCCACATGGCTGCCTGACGGCTTTGCCCTCTGAGAATTGGAACTAGGGATCTACAATAAAGCACTCTTCACATTAGGAAAGAATGTCATAACTTGGTCAAAGCAGACCATTCTCCATCAAAAGCATCAGCCATGATACTAAATAACCTGTAAGTAGGGAGAAAAAATGTTTTAAAAAAGAAATATATAATAGAACATAAGAGTCTGAGATACCTTAATTAAGAGTTCTGATACTAAAGAAAACTTTGGAAAAATTTCTCTTTTTAACCTGAAAATATACCTCTTATTGACTTTCTGCTTTGGAAACATTTCTAAATAAAACAAAATACACTTATATTAATAGAGGAAGAATGGGAGCAAATTTCTATCCCTGCTTTAGCAAAGACGTAGACATGTAGACCGACAGTATTGTGTGCACTAGTCGGAACTGTGGAAGAAGTTATGGTGACCATTCAGTGGAATTCCATTATAAAGATACTTATTAAATAAGAATATGCCCAAGACAAAATGCATGAAAAATCAAGTTACAAGTAGCATGAACTCTTTAATTCCATATATGAAAAATTATAGATGTTGTTGTTATTGTTGTTATTAAGTGCCACTGAGTCGGTTCTGACTCATAGCAGCCCTATATAGGGTTTCCAAGGCTTTAAATCGTCACAGGAGCAGAAAGCCTCATCTTTTTCCTGAGGAGTGGCCGGTGAGCTCGTACCACCAACTTTGTGGTTCACAGTCCAGTGCTTATCATACAGAGTCACTATGTTTCCTATTAATGTAATAGATACATTATCAAGTGTTTCCTTTATGCCAGGCAGGAGTCCTGGTGGCTCAGTGGGTTAAGCATTGGACCACTAACCCAAAGGTTGGGGATTTGAACTCACCAGCTGCTCTGAGGGAGAAAGATGAGGTAAATATTGCAGTCTTGGAAACCACTTCTACTCTGTTCTATGGGGTCACTATGCATCCCAAACAATTCAATGGTAGTGAAGCTTTACAATGTGGTGGAAAGAGATAGATAAGAAGCAAGCTTGTAAAGATATCAGATGGTGTTAGTGTCAGGCTGGGATATGGGTGACGTGATGGGGAGTGTTTCACTGAGATGATGACCTATGATCTGGTACCTGGCTAAAGTGAGGAGATGAGCCAGGTGGCCATCCCAGGGAAAGGCAGAGACCCTGGGGTCAGGTTCCAGGAACAGCAAGGAGACAGGTGTGGTTCAGGTGGAGGTAGAGAAGGAGGAATTAGTAGGAAATGGGGTCTGAGAGATTGGGGGGGCAGACCCCATAGGGTCCTGGAAGGCACTGGTAGGACTTGAGCTTTTACTCTGAGATGGGAGGGTCCTAGCAGGGGCATGCTGTGAGTGACTGAAATGTACAAAGCCTCACTCTGAAAGAAAGGGCAGGGTGAGGATGGAAATAGGGAGATATGGATGGAAGCAGGGAGACATGGGAGGCTCCAGGTGACAGAATACAGCGACTTTGTGGTGGGTTGGAGCAGAGGAGGTGGGGAAGGAGCAGGAAGTCCAGAGAGAAATAACCAGAAGGAAATTCACTCAAGTGGGATCAGTGGAGAAAATGACTGTGAATGGCACTGCTGTTAAAATTGTGTGCAGCAAATTCTCTACAGTTCTCTACAGACGTAGAACACAGTCACTGGGGACAAAATCTATCATAATCTCCATCTTAGTATCAGATTCCAGGAATCCAGAAACAAAATTCCTAAAAGTAGAATCAACTATGAAAAGAAGATTCAATGACCAAGAACATTCAATACGTATTTCAAACCTTGCAGCAGGTACCTCCAGAAAGGGTAGTGATTCTAAGATACTACTAGGGAAGGGCTGGGCTCCTTTCCTGCCTTCATCTTACTAGCTGGAATGTAGATGTGACAGCTGGCGCTTCAGCAACCAGATGGACCATAAGGACATATTGCAGGGATGGCAGAATGAAAACCTACCTGGGAAGAGCTTGGATTCCGGATGCTGAGGATTCCTAATCTGGTAGCTCTTCCAAGTGAAAGGAAACAAAACTTCCATTTTGATTGTTGTTGTTGCTGTTAAGTGTTGTTGAGTTGGTTCTGACATTTAGTGGCACTGTATAGAGTTTCTGAAGAGCAGCTGGTGAACTTGAACTGCCAACCTTGAAGCCCAAACAGACCTTACAGCTCAGCACATTAAGCCACAGCACCACACCAGGACTCCTCCATTTTGATTAAGCCTCTTTATTTTATTTTTTCTATCACACACAGCCAAATCTACTCCTAAGGATAAAATCCTCCATGGAGCTGTATTCTGATAGCCTGACTTGAATGAGAACAGCCTTCTACTCCAAATTCCCCAGGACTTTACACCTTTTTATGGCTCTGACCACATCCTGCCAGGTTTTGTGGAGACTAGAGTGATGTTTCCCTACAGCCTAGGCCAGCACCAGGCCTAGTGTGGGGCAAGTGCTCAGTGGTGGTTGGAATGAATGGTCCTGAATCTGCCAGTTTGGCCTGGAGGAGAGCCTCCTTTCCCATACCCTCTGTTGAGACTTCATTTAATCAACTACAAGGACTCTAACAATCACCATTTACATCTTAATATTAATGATGAGGATGAGGATAATCATGCAGAACACTTTGGGCTTGTGTTAGGGGAACGACACACATTCTAGCCATCCTCCTGGGGTCAGCCTGGTTTCTCATGAAGGCAGCCAGCGTTCTGGGAGGCTGAAGAGCGCTAGGTGAGTCAGCATTCTGGAGTGGAGTGGTAGGGTTGGTTTGCACACGTAGGTCTGCTGCTGACTCTCTTCTAGACTCACTTTCCCCATTTTTCAAATACATAGGTGGGACCATGGGACTTTTAAGGTCTGGTGAAATACAGTCTTTTGTCTTGATCTGCAGCAAAGAAATCACTCCTCATGGCGCAGGGCTTAAGTTATGATCTCTGATGCCCACCCTCTCACACTGGCGCACACAGTCTACTGTTACCTATGCCCACCACCTCTTCCCCCACGACCCCCTCAGGATGCCTTGGATACACAATCCCTCCACAATTCTTCAAGCCAGGGGCCGCTGTGGCCCCTCTGACCTTCCAAGTTTTATGTTAAAACCTGGACTGAGCTCCAATTCCAGGGTTGGAGTAGCTCAAAGTCCTCCCACAACATCCTCTGATTTGCTTTTTCCATTTAGTATTGAGTAAGTAGCTACTGGCGTGGCACTGTAGGATCAGCACTGAACTGTTAACTGCAAGGTTGGCGGTTCAAACCTACCAGACGCTCCTTGGAAACCCTATACAGAGTTGCTATGAGTTGGAGCTGACGCTACAGCACTTAACAACAACAAAGCTACTACTTTGTGCAGGGCACTGTGCTAACATAACAGGGACACAAAGATGAAAACTAGATAGGGACCCTCAGTTCTCACAGCAGGGAAAACCAAGCTGACTGAACATAACTGGACAACAATTAGAACTATGTGCTAGTTCAACAAATGGATTGAGTGTACTCAATGCTACATTAGGAATTTATTAGCTACTGATAACAATGAAAGACAGACAGGGTCCTTGCACCCATGGAGTTTTTATTCTAAAAAAGAAACATACAAGGTTCATTACACATCTGTTGAATTTTAGTTCATTAATTCATTCAACCACTCTCTGCTGAGCCTTACAGTATACCAGGCCTTGTGGGGTCCTATGTGAGCAAAACCAGTGCAAGTCCATGCCCTCAATGAGAAAGTATGAATTGACAGGGTCATACTTTCACTAGAGGCTCCCGAGATGGAAAATACCGGAGGGAGAGACAAAGGGGGAGGCGTATACTAACAAACAACGTATTTGAAAGAGAAGACAATACAATAAAGACCCAACTAATACTTATATGGCACTGTGGGTTAATGCACCAGACTGCAAAGTCGTTTGAACTACAGGGCTGGCAGTTTAAGCTCACCAGCTGCTCGTTGGAAACCCTGTACAGGGTTGCTATGAGTCAGAACTGACTAGATGGCACTTAACAACAACAACAATACTTACATGTCTAGAGTCCTGGTGTGGCGCTGTGAGATAATGCATTAGACCACAAGATTAGTTTGAACCACAAGGTTGGTGGTTCAAATTCACCAGCTGCTCCTTGGAAACTCTATACATGAACTGATTTGACCTCACTTAACAACAACAGCAACACTTACATAGCACTCACTGCATGCCAGATATCATACTAAGCATATCTTAGCTCACTTAATTCTCATAACCTCATAGTGGGTTTGAACCACTGACCTTTTGGATAGCAGCCTAACAATTGTGCCACCAGAACTCCTTACAACCTCATGAGGTTGGTAATAATTTCCATCATCCCAACTTTATGGAGAAGGAGACGGAGGCATGACAGCTATAAATATGTACTCACGCTCATACAACTAGTAATCGGTAGTACAGGATTAGAACCAAAGTATACAGAACTCAGGCTGTGTTCCTAACCATTCCACCTCTTAAAGGGGAGTCAAAAATAGCCATGAAGACAGCATGGAGCCAGGCAGAGGGACCAGCATTCCAGGAGGAGGAAATACATAGAACAGTCCTGCAGAAGAAAAGAGCTCGAAGTGTCTGTGAAGCAGAAGGAAGACCGTGTGGTGTACAAGGGCGAGCATGGGGCAAGATAGCACAGTGGTTGGAGGGCAGTGGGAGATTCTGAAAGGTGGCTAGTCTGTTCCCCAGACCCTTCCAGGTGGCTTACCTGGAGCTGAGGTGGACGACTAGGAGAGACAGAGAAGAAAGAGATATAGCAGAGAGAGGGGAATGTGAGAAAGCATGAGGGTAGTTAGGGTATCTCTTAGCAGTGCTGGTGTGGCACTGTGGGACAATGCAGTATACAGGGTCGCTATCAGTCGGAACCTACTCAACAGGGTATCAGGGTATCTCTTATCACTGCTTTGCATGAATAATTCTTGTAAGGCCTGTACCGGAATATCATTATCAACAGCTCCCTCTTTCACTCTCAAAAATATCTGTTGTTATCTCCACTGAGTAGTATCCAATCTGTCTAGGCGGGGCTGATGAAAGGAAATGCGGATAGGTCTCTTGTGATACAATAGTGAATAATTGTTATCAGGACTGATTGTGAGGGTTGGAAATGTAAAGGTAGATATTTTTTAGCAAGGAGGGGAGTGATTAACTTTTCAGTCTAGGAGCAGAGGTCCCTGGGACCATCAAGGGAGAAATGCAGAGAGCGGGACCCTACCCAGAGAAGCAGTGATGCCTGAGATGGAGGCAGAGACGATGACGTGGAGAGATGGAGCAGCTGGGGACTTTAGACTCAGAGAGGGAGAGGGGCTGCGTGCTGACAATCGGGGGGGAGGCTTGTAGTGTATAGCCTTTGGTTAGTTGATGATGCATAGAGGGGATTGTAACCATGGCAATGAAACGATATACGATAGGATGAATGTAAAACTAATGTTCTCCCCTGTAAACTATCACATAATTCACAATAAAACATTAAACAAATATATATATATATATATATCTGTTGTTGTTGTTAAGTGCCTGACTCATAGCGACCCTGTAAGGGGTTTCCGGGAAGTGGCTGGTGGGTTTGATCACTGATCTTGTGGTTAGCAGTCCAGTGCTTATCCTGCAGCACCATACCATGACTTCTGATTTTACATGTGTGTGCAAAAGTGTCTAGGTTTGCACATTAAGTAATCAGGACCCCCTTAGTAAAGGAGATTTCGATTTTAGATTGCTGGTCTAGATGGATGGCTATAACTCCTCAGTCTCCCAAGAATCTTCACTGAATCTACATCATGCATCAGGGCTTGCAGGGTTGGGTTTGTGAGTTTTGACCAGACAAGGAGACTCAGTCACATCTGACCCAACGCTGGGTCTGGCATACAGTTAGCACTCAGTGAATACACAGGGAATAACATACAGTGAAACCTGCAAAAGCCAGAACTCAGCAGAACTGCCTTGTTTTTCTGGGTCTTAGCGTTTTCCGCCTTTGACAGGTCTTACCACTTTCTTATTGCTCATTTTAGTGGAAAATGGTTTCATTTTCCTGTTCAGACAGGTATCTGCCTTACACAGGTTCTAGTTTTCAAAGACTTTACTGTATGTATTAACAAAAGCAACATTGCGCAATACCTCGTTTCTCCCCTGTGTAGGGGACCAGATCTTCTCGGTCCTTAAATTCCTTTGCTTGCTTTTCCAAGTGATCCAAGAGTTCCTCTCTTTTAAAGGGGCCTGTGGGCGCCTTGGTGGTCTGATCCTTCTGCCTCATGCCTGCTGGCAGCAATGCATTCTACAGTGGAGGTGTGGGGACAGGAGAGAGAGAAAGAGAGCTGTCAGCTGCTGAAAACGCGGATTTCTATAGAAACTCATCACTGAGCAACAGGGACCTGAGAGTTCACTGAAGCAATCCAACTGCCACTTCTTACATGTAAGGAATCTGAGGACAAGGGACTTGCCCAAGGTCACTATTATGGATTGAATTGTGTGTTATAAATCCTAACGTCTAAGCCTGTGGTTTTGAGTCCATTTGAGAATGGGGTGCCTTTATTATAGGCAGGATTCCTGTAAGGTGTGTTTTGAGTCTTTTTATCTGGCTATCAAAGAGATGAAACACAAGCTAGTAAGCAGAGCTGGGGAAAAGAGATGCCAGGCCATGTGAGCAGAAGCTCAAAGACAAGGATGTTCCCCCAAAGCTGACACAGAGAGAAAGCTTTCCCGAGAGCCAGCACACTGAATTCAGACTTCTAGATTCCCAAACTCAAAAAAATAAATTTCAATTTGTTAAAGCCACCCAGTAGCAGTATTTCTGCTGTAGCACCACTAGATAAAACAGAGAGTCACACAGCAGATGGGGTCAGAGGTAGGGTAAGATTCAGGTCTGTCTCTGCCCCTGCAGTGTTTGCAGCCTTGATGGTTTTGAAGGCAAAGTGTGAGGGGACAGGGCAGCTTACTGGGTGCTGAATGCAGAGCTGGGGGCTTCAAAACATTTGTGGGGAAAAAGTCATTATTGTTTCATTCCATTTTCCCACAAAGTTTCTAAAGTCCTTGCATACTACTAAGTTGGTATTTGGACACATGGAGATTTTTACAGCAACTGTGCATAAAATGTTTAGAAGGGGAAGAAACCAAAGAGTTTGAGTTATAGCCCTGCATGCAGAATTAGACAGCACAAAAATTAATCAATGAAAAAGAATAAGCTAGAAAAAAAGGTTGAACAGAACCATAGGGTGGGCAAGGTGTGTTTTTAGGCTGGGGATCAATTGTTAAATGGAAAACCAATTTGCTCAGCCAACTTTCACCCAAATGACAATAAAAAGCAAAAAAAAAAAAAAAAAAAAAGATCCTAAGGGGTGGGGTGTGTGTTTTGCACAATACCAAAACTCACCAAACCTATGGCCATCAAGTCAATTCTGACTCATAGCAAGCCTGAATACGATTTATGAGGAGTCCTGGTGTGGTGCCACTCCTTGGAAACCCTACACAGGGCCACTTTGAGTTGAAACCGACTCAACAGCACTTAACAACAACAACAATCTTTATGGGAGCAGAAAGCTTCATCTATCTTCCATGGAGCCACTGGTGGGTTTGAACTACTGACCTTGAGGTTAGCAGCCCATTGTTTATTCTACAGGGCTCCTTACTTTACTAAAGAACAAAGGATAATATATAATTGGCCCGTAAAACACCTATACGTTGTCCTGGAGTAATTGGAGCCATATAACGTTTGTTATTGTTAAGTGCCATTGAGTGGGTTCCAATCCATAGCAACCCTGTATTTAGTTTCTGAGGAGCTGCTGGTGGATTTGAATCACTGACCTTACAATTAGAAGTCCAGTGCTATCATACAGTGCCACACTAGGACTCCATATATAACCTTTGTTGTTTTTAAGTGCCAGCTAGTCAGTTCCGACCCATAGAGACCCTGTATAGGGTTTCCGAGGCTGTAAATCTTTACGGGAGTAGAAAGCCTCATCTTTCTCCTGCGGAGCAGCCCGATTTGTAACCACTACGCTACCAGAGCTCATATAGCCTTTAAGGGTCAACAAAAAGAAAGAACCACAACTAGATGGATTGCTATAGTAGCTGCAACATGGGCTCAAACACAGCAATGATTGTGAGGTTGGCGCAGGGCCTGGGCAGTGTTTCCTTCTGTTATACACAGGGTTGCTATGAGTTGGAATCGACTCAAGGTATCTAACAACAACAACACACTTTAAGGTGCTTAAGTGTCATGCTCCCAGCCTCAAAATGCACACAGGGTAATTACTCTTCTATCAGTTTGTAGTACTGTGGTGGCTTGTGTGTTGCTGTGATGCTGGAAGCTATGCCACCGGTATTTTAAATACCATAAGGGTCACCCATAATGCAAAGGTTTCAGCTGAGCTTGCAGACTAAGACAGACTAGGAAAAAGGAGAGGGAGACTACTTCTGAATGGTTAGCCACTGAAAATCTTCCGAATAGCAGCAGAACACTGTCAGAAATGGTTCCGGAAGATGAAAACACTATGAATAGCACCAGAATATTGTCAGATTTACTGCCAGAAATGAGTACCTCGGGTTGGAAGGCACTCAAGATATGACTGGAAAAGAGCTGGCTCATCAAAGTGAGTTGAAAGTGATGACTGGAATGAAGTAAACCTTTTGGGATCTTCATTTACTGATGAATCACAACTCAAAATGAGGGAAACAGCTATAAGCATCCATTAATAATCAGAACATGGAATGTACGAAGTATGAATCCAGGAAAATTGGAAGTTGTCAAAAGTAAAATGGAGTGTATAAAAATCAATATCATAGGTATTAATGGGGTGAAATGGACTCACTAATTGATCACTAATTATTAGTCATTTTAAATCTGACAATCATATTGTTTACTATGCCAGGAATGACAAATTGAAGAGGAATGGTGTTACATTCATCATCAAAAAGAACATTTCAAGATCCATCTTGAAGTACGATGCTACTGTGATAGGATAAGATCCATACACCTACACTAT